GGGGGGGGGGGGGGGGGGGGGGGGGGGGGGGGGGGGGGGGGGGGGGGGCTTTGGGCGAAGACTGGAGGGAAGAGCCGCTGGTGGTGAAGAGCCGGAGGGCCTCGTTCCAGTGGGACTGTATAATGGTCTGGAACTGGCTGACCATCTCAGTCCGCTAAGCCTCCAGGTGCCGATACCTGGCCTTGCACTCCCACAGGTCTTCCCTCTGCTTGGAAAGCCTATGTTCCTAGTGCTCAGTGAGGTGCTTCTGCTGAGCCTCCTTCTCGGTCAGATCCAATTTGAACTGAACCAGCTATTTTGCCAACTCTTTCTCATGGTGGCTACCTGGTTCTAACAACTGCTTCCTATTGGGGCCCTAAAGCGCCTGGGCAGGGAGGTGAGGAGTGGCTGAGAGGGGAGGGGTGAGTGGGGGCCGGCGAAGCACCCCTTGACATGAGTGACATTAGGTTGCCCATGCCCACCTAGCCATGCCCACCCAGCCAGTCATTAGGCAGATCATATTAGTGGTCTGTGGGATTTAAAATTATGGATGTGGTGGTCCCTGAGATCCAAAAGGTTGGGGACTCCTGCTATGGAGAATAAATCGTCACACTCTTCCCTGTGCCAGCCTTTCTATTGTTAGGTGATAGTTACTGTGGCTTCCTTAAGTCTTTTCTTTGTTAGTCTAAACATAGCTAGTTCCCTTAGCTGTTCATTGTACTCCATTATCTTAACCAAGAAGTAGGTCGTGATCTACTTTGTCAAATACTGGAGTCTACGTACGCTAAATCCAAAATGTTTCCTCGATCCACTAATTTAGTCACTTTATTGTAGAAGGCAGTACAGTTTGTTTGGCATGATCTGCTTTTAACAAACCCATGCTGGTAATCGGCTTGTTCATTCTCGGCACTCACAAATCTGTTGCTTGATCATCTTTTCCCAGATAGCCCAATGATATGCCATGTAGGGCTTTATAAGCAACAATAGGCACTTTGATCCACATCCAGAAGCCTACTAAGAGTCAGAGCAGTGGCATCATATGGGTATGAGAGAGGCCAAAAACTGCCTGATCTGGATCAGTTACAACTTCTGAATGCCCCTTACAGTGTATTTGTAATATAGAGCATGTTAGAGTAATCCAAATAGGAGGCGATTAAGGTAAGAGTTGCTGTGTGTAGTATGAGTTACTGTGAGCAAGGCTCCCTGGTCCTGACATGGTGGGATACAACCTGTGCAAAGTCTCCTTAGCTGCAGCTGCTCTTGGAGTAGGAGCTCTAAGTCCAGAAGGAACCCCAAATTCCCTACCAAGTTCCCTGGGGAAAGGTATCCCTGGGCAGAGTTAATGGTGGAAAAGGAGGCCTCCTTCTCAAAAAAGCCTGTAATCCTCCGTTAGACCCACACAGGCCCCAGACAATAGGGAAGGACCGTTTTGATTGGCCCAGAAGGGAAGTGTGCAACTGAGAGGAAGTCCAGCTTTTGCATTCCCTTCCTTTGTAAGTCAGCTGGTATTGATACGATTTACTTTTTTATAACTTATAACCCTCCTCTGGATAGTGACCAAGCTCTAAATATTTTAAGTAAAGAAAAAACTCCATAATTTAATAAAGATGCACTATGCTCAAATTACTGGTTTCTAACTGCTCGGGTGATTTGCAGTGATATTGGAGAATTGGAAACAAGTGGTCTTAATACTCTTGGACTTAACTCTTCATTTTTATTACTTCTCCTTTCTTTTTGCTGTTTCTAATGGACTTGAGAGCCAGGAATATGGCATTATGTTTTAGGTGTAAAAGTGGCTTGCATGAGCAAGAGACTGTAGAGAAAGAAAGAAAAATTTTCTAGGCCTTATCCTGTATTTTTTTTTTTAATTATAGTTTCTGACACCTATATTGGTAGTCTTTGCTTTACAACATTTCATTTAGTGACCATTCAAAGTTACAACGGCATGGAAAAAAATGACATGACCATTTTTTACACTTGGGGCCATTGGAGCATCCCATGGCCATGTGATCAAAATTTGACAAGCAAAGTCAGTGGGGAAGCCTGAGACGCTTAACAACTGTGGTAGTAACTTAAGTGATTCACTTAACAGCGGTGGCAAGAAAAGTCATAAAATGGGGCAAAATTCACAGTGAGAACTGTCTCACTTAGCAGTTAGCTCAATTGTGGTTATAAATTGAGAACTATATATGCATTCAGAGGTGTATGTATACAAGTGTGTCAGATAGACAGATTTTTTTATCCAGCCGGAAGGTCTCCAGTATTAATTTCAGTTAAAACTGGTGATTTAGCTGAGAAGTGGCAATGCTGGGGGTTTTACAGTATTTCTAAGTACTCTTCAGCAAGACATTTTCTTAAGATCGCTCACATTTAAATATCTGACTTCTCTCAAGGCATTTTGCAAGACAAAAAGTATAAACAGGAAGTGTTGAATATCTGAACTTTAGATTGAACTATAAATGACAAAAGACTTGTGATATCTTGAATATATTTATTGTATTTCAGTTCAGTTTACAAATAAGATACATAAGTGTTTATGTGATAATCTACTATCCAGATTATTGTCAGACAGGTAGGAGTTAACTTTTTATAATAGAACATATTACTAAACAATAAACTTTTTGCAATTTTCCCTTGCCAGGAAATGACCTAGAGGCCTTACATTTCTGCATCCTATATACTCTACAATCAAGAAAATTGAACCCTGAAAGCACCACTTAGTAATATTAAAAGGAAACTACCTCAGCACCAAGAAGCAAAAGTGGAAAGGCTTGCAATAAAAAGAAAAGAAAACATATGTTATGAATAAAGTGTAGTAGCAAAGACTCTAGAAAAATATATGCTTTTTTCAGTATTAAGATGGGATTTGACTGACGGGCTCTGTCAAATCAAGAAGTTATTTTGTCTGCTGATGTTAAGACTCAGTGATTCTTCAAGAATAGTCATAGTCTGCATTACTCATCACTGTTGAGCAGTGATTTTGCTTTTCCTTTCCTAATACTAACTGAAGAAAAATATAACAATGGTACTAATTTTTAAACATGAGATTTCTTCAGTTTAAAACAATATTAACACCAGGTGTCAGAAATGCATTGACAAGAAAACTACAGCAAATGGTTTTTGTGTCTTGTACATTGCAACAACATTTTGGGTGCCCACTGTAGGATGCTTAAGGAGGAAATAGTATTTTTAGTTACCACCACTTGCTTTTATGATTATAATTTGTAATTGCAGCAGTGCTGCATTTGAACAACAAATTGTACAAGTCAGCAAAACAGCTGCCATTTTCACTACTGACACCTAGTATCTAGATTTTTTTTTCAAATGCCTTTTCTGAAAATTATGTAAATGCTCCTCCTGTGCTATTGCTACACATAGATGGATTTCCAAGAGAGCAACTCATGAGAATGAATTAATTCAAAAAACCCTTGGCCAAGTACTTCCTTATGTATTGCTGCAGTGCACAAGAAAGTAAAATGGACTATAAGCGGCGCTTTTTGCTTGGCGGGTCCAAGCAAAAAGGGCAGCAACACCAGCAGTATCAAGTGCCAGAACTGGGCAAGACTCTGGGCGCCTCCTTAGCATCTTCAGCTCCAACCTCTCCTCTGGTTTCCCTGGCTGCTGCTGGCAGCTGCAGTCACGCGACTCCAGTCGCAGACCTCCAGCAGGGAATCTCCAAATACCTAGATGCACTCAATGTATTTTGTCGTGCAAGCACTTTCCTCACAGACCTTTTCAGCAGTGTATTCCGGAACTCGCACTATTCTAAGGCAGCTATGCAACTGAAGGACGTGCAGGAACATGTCATGGAGGCAGCAAGTCGACTCACAGCAGCAATAAAACCAGAAATTGCAAAAATGCTCATGGAACTTAGTGCTGGAGCAGCCAACTTTAAAGATCAGAAGGAGTTCAGCCTACAGGACATTGAGGTAAGTTCCTTCCTTCCTTTAGGCAAGATATGCTAAGAGGTTTTAGGGTTGCAATCAGGTTAGACATATCCAGTAGAAATTAGAGAAACATCTGAGCTACTTGCACCTGGTATTTCCTTTGGAAAAATAGTGGTTGTATTCCTATGAAATGTTTAACAAGTGGACTGATGATGTCATAACACATACCTTCCCAAGTAACTAAAGAACCGCTAATAAATGTATGACAAAACAAACATCAATCCCTGTGCATGTAGGAAATAAAATGCAAAAATTCACCAACATACCCATCTATTACTGCAGTGACATTTCAAAAAACAATTGCATTATAGTGTAGAGTTTGGAAGTTTAAACTGAATCCATGTGTTTGAGTATGCTGCTTCTAGACATTACCTCTAAGAAGATGAGATTGATCTAAGATTAAGTTTCGAACCCTTTGAATCTTTTTTGAGGTTTGGTACAGTATTCAGAAATGTGGTGGTGGAATTCCGCGACTCGCAGGTATCCGGGGCCGTTTTCGGGGCAGCAGGCTGCGCGGTCGCCGTTCCCCAGGCGGCCTGCCTGCCTGCCGGCAGAGCTCTCTCT